AAAAAAAACAGGTTGGGCACCGTGCAGCTGCTCCATCCTTACTGGGAGACCGCATAATACGGAATTCCAGGACGATTGAACTAAAGATCACCTACGGGATAGTTGAAGACTAAACGGTTCGGCCTCAATCGGCCAACTCGCGCTGAGTTGGCCGTGTGACTTCCCACAAGAGTGTTTTACACAAGGAACACTCCCCCGTGAAACCGGACAAACTTTACTTTCATTATGGAACGACAGTTCAAGCTGCTGTCAGTCCTGCTCCACATGGGGCTCACGTCACTCTGATTGTACAGATTATCAAGGTTGGACCCAATCACAGCAGCGCGTATTGAGGCATTGTGCTAGTTGGCGCACCGTACGAGCTTCAGCTTAAGCTATAACCAGGTGAAGTTAGGGATGTGGTGAGATGATAGAAAAGAGCTGGCAGAACTCACTGATTCGGTGTCGCCGTCGTCCGCACGCACGTCCGCGGATTCGGTGGGAGTCCGGAACCAGGATTTGTCACAACTGGTCTGTTGTCCACCCACTCGCTGGTCGAATTTTCGCGGCTTCAGTGCCCCCACTTCACGTGACATTGGCAGTAATTCTGTCATCCATGCATCGCGCTTAAGCGCGTTCGAGCTCATTGGTTTCATGTGTTCTTTATCTGACTGGTTTTGGAAAGAGTTTGATTTGAAATTGCAGAGAAATTGCAGTGAAAATGGGTTACAAAATGGCTCAAAATTTGGTAGCAAAAGACGATGGGAACGAGGACGGATAATTTCAACCATCTACGAGGGTGACTGTGTCGAATTCACATAAGTTTTCGTCATGACCTGATCAATAGATAGGATAAATAACACCGCAGACATATTGGGTTAATCTGACAAGAAAACCTTCTGTTTGGAGGTATCTGCACATAAGTATACTTCGAACGTAAGTGAGCAATGGATGAGTACCCACGACCACGGATTTTCTGTGACATCACTAATTTGACAGCCCGGGATCATTTGAACAAACTTGCATTCTTCACGAGTATCCGCATCTCAGACGCCAGTTGACCTGAATATGGTTGACAAATTACAGTTGACAGGTGCAACCTGCCGGCTGGCAAAAAATTCAAACACTCAAGCAAAAAAACGGTATCTACGGCTCGTCTACTGATTTCTGGCACACAGATGTTACTTTCCAACTGACAAATCCGTTACATGCCTACTCGTGGCGGGGGGAAAATTGCCTATAACGTGGAGTGGAGACGGCTACCGTTCCTCGAAACGAAGGTATCCGAAAAATTAGAGCTCCAGAGAGCTCAGTGGTTAGGACGAGAACTTACTGATAGGAAGGTCCGTGGTTCGAACCCAACCTCGGGATCTCGACCGCTCCTGTCTAGGCTTGGGCGACATGTCAGTACCTGAGTATGGCAGCTATCCTACAGCTGAACGATTATTACTATTTATCGTTATCTGAGGCAAAAAAACTCGTGCTTGATGCACCACCTCCAGGATAAGCACAAAAACCGTTGGACCGGTTTTTCCCTTCAGCTCACGTTTAAGGAAAACCCCATTCATTAAAGTGGATGTCAGTACACCTCAGATACAGTCTATGGATTTCAACAAACAACGAATAAGGTCCGAACAATACGGGTAACAGAAGAACAATTGATGACTAACCTTTGTCGAGCTGAAGTGCCGCAATTCTTCATGCAGTTCTTGTCCTGGAAGCAACGGACCAATGGTTCCCAAATCTTCAACGTTCTGATACTCGTCTGACTGATTCACAAGTTTGGATTTGAACAAATCCACTGGAAGGGAAGGTCCTATGCCTCCGGTAGGAGCAACATCATCCGGGAGTAAGGTGGGTCCAATCGGACGACTCTTCTCACTCTCTGGACTGGATGGCATCTCGCAGGGTTTTCAAACCCGAGTGAAAAACGTTCGGGACGAATCAACGCTAAAACAAGAGTAGAAGTAGACTCAGTCCAGTCGCATGACTAGAACTAACATCTCTGTGCAAAGCAATGGAAGAAAACGCCTGATCCGTGGACATACGTTTGCCCATGAAGAGTCCCCGTATAGTAAAGGCAAACAAAGTGAAAAGACTCGACGGGACCGTGGCTGCTATTCACAACGCCGTTGGTCACAATACTGTCGCAGAAAAGAGCGACGCATCAGTGCTGTCTACCCCATGAACCAGACATCGTCAAATGCAATCACTTCTGTGAAAGTCCTACTGGATTCCCAACGTCTGGTCAGCAATGCCAAAGAGACATGCCTAAGATAAATCAAACTTTCAAGCCAAGCATGCAATGCACTCAAACTAAATTTCATAGTTCCTACATTAATTTCAAAAAAACACCTTGTAGACTATGTCCTCACAAGTCTCCGTGTCAAGGCCAACCGACATCCGCCAACAACAAGCTGAGCACAAATCAATGAAACAAACAACAAGATTGATCAATACTTTTGGTTGGTGTGAATGGAATTCTTGCTTTTGGTAGCGAAGACGCAACGGGGGCGAGTTGGACCAAGTGGTTGGAGCGCGAATTTATTGACCGGAAAGTCCGTGGTTCGAACCCGACTTCCCCTGTCTGGGATCGGGCGACCTGGCAGTATCCCNCGTGTTTTCTTCGTGTGGCACGGCAAGCTAGGCACGACAGGGTGCTACAGCTGAACGACCATCAATCAATCGAAGATGCAACACCTGCTCCCGATCCACTCCCACATATGTGGTGGTGGTGTTGGTACGGACAAAGAAACATGGGCACTTTGGGTGATTCGAACCTCAACACTGACCACGACGGCTAGACGCAAACCAGCTTTCCCGGATCAGAAAGTCATCGCCTGATAGACAGGTTTCACAAGGGAAGACATGCAGGTGATGACAAACTGAGATCTGTCGTTCACGAAACCATGATCAGATGTCTGTTGTTCCGCAGAAAAGCTCCAGTAAGCTGAGAACGGTGAGTTCAGGTTGAAGACGGGTAGTGAGTTGAGGAATCAACTACCGGACCTCAACTTCAGACCACTGAGGTACTAAGTTTGATGGACACTCAATATTCCACAGAAGAACATGTAATTTCCGGGTCTTGGGGGGGATTAACGACTGTCGTCTTATGGAAACAACCTTGAGACTTATCAAGACCATAGATCAACTACCGCAATTCAAAAGATTCCTGTGGGGAACGGCGAGTAGTTATTGGTGGCTCAAAACAAACAACAGGTGAACAGAGGAAGTCATCCCACAGACCACACGGACTTTCCGGGGGAATTCGTCACTAGAAAAGCCAAAGAACATCACATCGCGTGACAAAGGCTGCTGGTTAAGAGCTGGTCACGCCACGTCTCCTTCAAGTGTCGGTTCATTGCACACCTCGTCAGTAACTCACAGTCCAATGTTAGTGCTGAATCAGAGAACGGAATCTGTGAACGACACTAGGACACATTTCCCATACGAACACCACCGACTATCCGCTGCTTTGCACTGCCGGAAAACTGGAAACATTTGCCACTAAACAGAAAACTCACTGCAGTCTCCACGCCACTAAACAGAAAACCCACTGCACAGTCTCTCTCTCTTGCGCTCATCTCCCGTGCACCTTCTCGTGTACAGTACCACCTTCCCTCGGAAAAAGGGACCACCGTCGGAGAGGCTACCTACCTTGGTCTATTTTGTTTACGATTCATCCGGGTGATTGTGTGGGCAGGAGATTCTCGTGCACAATGAAGCTGGATTCTCGAAGAGCAACACATACGAAGATAGCGACAGAATACCGGCTAGTGTTTTACTTCAGCGTTATTGATAATTAGCCATTGGGGGGGCTACCACTGGGTCGGTACTGTCTTCCCCCAAGTCCCTGTAGGAAGAAGACCAATCGAAAGTCCGGTCCAAGTATTTTTTTAATACCCACAGAAGTGACAGACGGATGAACAACGGCTTAGAGCTAGCAAAGCTGAACTGTGGATGCCGCCTGTAAACTAGACGATATCTGATGTGATGCATTCGAGTGAGAATTTGAAAGTCAAAAAGAAAAAACAATATATTTGGCTGATGACAAATACCAAAGTATTATCATTCATAACATTTGGTATCACGGGAAGGGGATCATTGTGGGTGGGCACAGCTACTGGACAAACCAGCGGAGTAAACGGGACCCAAAAAGTACTCTGAATTTGTGGGGTAGCAACCTTTCGGTGCCTAGCTTTCCTGTCACCCAAAGGAAGCACGGGAGCTAAGATGCTGTCAGGATGCCCAACCCTAGACAGGAGCAGCCTACAAGTCGAGGTTGGGTTCTAACCATGGAACTTCCGGTCGGTAAGTCCGCGTGTTAACCGTCTCGAGATTAGTCTACACTAGTGCACCACTAAAGGCTACACAGAGGTATGCGCACGTGATGAAGCTGATCCTTTAATTGGAACACTTGAAGCGAATTTCCGGAAAGAATTTGATCGTCTCCTACGCGTCCGTACTTCGTCAATAAACCAGAAACTTACATCCCGCACTGCTACGAAGTTTCTACGCAAATTGTCCGGGTGCGGATGCCTGTTGGTCATATACGACCAACAACACATTACACTATACGTTAAACTTGGACAACACTTGTGTTGATTCCCCCTGTGAATCAACGGTGAACAAGGGTAACTTTCCTTGTTTTCTGACTACTCATGAGTAACATGACTTACACCTGTTTGTTATGACCCCGTCTCGTTTTCTTGCTGCTCGTTTTCCCCACGTTTCGTTCCTACTTAAGGTCTGCTAATCCCTCAGTAAGTGATGTCAATATTTTATTGCCCGTCAGTCATTGCTTGCAAGTTCGTCCGGATTGCACCTATTCACGAGCGAAAAGCGCGCCGACCGGGTACCGAACCCAGTCTGCGGACAGCAGGCGAACGCGTCACCGACCACACTAACCTGACACCCAGATTGGCTGATTATTTACCCATGTATTGCACCCGGCAGATAGCCCTCACTGAGCTTTGTTTTAAACGGGCGAAACCGCGCAATCTGACCTGTCACGCGACACGAGCGGCTGCGTCGACGCCGACCGAAAGACAGTCCCTCACATTCCGAACGTACTGACTCCTGCACCGTCACGGCCAATTCACACTGTCAGACTACCCCTATATGTATGTTTGTACATCGTTTGGTACTTACTTGCTGTTGCCCCTATAGAAATCCGTGCTGCGTCAGTGACTGCTTCCCGCTCCTGCTAATTACGTCATTGTCGATTGTACGTATGCTTAATTCATGATGCTTACTAATCCGTCTGTCTGTAGAACCAGTTCCTGTCAGTCTTCAATATATCATCTGCTGCACCACGTCTGTCTGCTCCTATCGACTACTGGCTACGAACTGCGTATAATCTAATAGTCGCAATCGTCCTGTGAGATCCTTAACCGTCCGGATCTTACAACTTGTCTATGAAACATGTGTAGAAGAGAGAGAGATGGGCGAGATGGACCAAGAGGTTAGAGCGCGAATTAACTGACCAGAATGTCCGTGGTTCGAACCCGACGTCTGCCTCTTGGCTTCCCCTGTCTAGGCTTGGGCAACCTGGCAATATCCCAGCCGTCGTGCATCCTTCATGTGGTATGACAGCTAGACACCGAAAGGATGCTACAGCTCAACGATTTATTATCTAGAGGATAGGGATCGGACATATCGCCAAAATATTCCGCAGAATATTCATGCACACTCATGCGTCGGTTTGCGTGTCCTGTAAGATAAACGGGCCTGGAAAACCCACAGATCTCAGAAGTTGATCACAGTGTTGAACTTTTCAACACGTTTACTGCAAGCACGATCCACGTGAACGCTTAAAGATCGGCTCAAATTTATCGCAGTTGTTTGGTCTATAATAGCCCGGGTTACCTTCCACAGTCTTTCACACCTGTAATTTAACGAAGAACTGGATGGTGAAGAGTGTGACCAGAAAGTCTGTAGAAGGTCGACAGCATCACAAACAAACCAACAACCCAAATCAGCCGCGTGCGTCTTCAGAGATCACTTAGAACAGATCCCGGGTTGAGACTAGTTACCCTCGCCATTCCCAAGTGTCGTTCTTCGTTCGGGGCAAACCGCCACGATCATAAGGAACTGAATCGTCACTGTGAACTGGGAATAATATTGTGTAGTGCTAAAAAATAGATTTTTCGGTGCAAAAGGACCAAATAAAAATTGAAAAACAATGCCGTCATGAGCATGGGACACGCTGGCGGCATATTATCCGTCGAATAGCGCGAACCATGTATTTATCACAGAAAACAGTACAGATTGTCAGTAAAAGCCCTAAAATATAAAAAACTACAATCGTGAGTTCAGTGGGAAGGAAACATTTGGAAACCGCATGTTCCGTTGGGGAAATTGTGAGCTGGAACGAAAAAGAAGACAAGAAGAGGTCAGGATGATTGATAGGCAAGTGAAATTGTGAAGTGTCAACAGAAGAGCCTCTCATCTACTCACGCAGGGGGAAAAAGCAGGCACGCCTGACCGGTCTCACTTGGAATATTGATGACAAAAAACACTCGCCCACGTTGGGCTACTGAGAGCACAACAAATCCGTTAGGTAACATCCCATTTTGTTGGAAGGATGCCTCTCTCAAGTATCCCCGATTCTGAATGGAGATCGAAGAAGTGTTCTGGATGGTGTGAGGGGAATTGGGATCGATGTTTCATCCCATGAGCGGAACCCATCTTCGGTGAAAACTGAGATGCACCGTAAAGCTGTTCCATCCTTATTGGGAATCACCGGTAGTGTGTATTTCATGAATCTACCGAGAAACTCGAGCTCAAAACCTCCCACGAAGTAGCTGAAGATTAAACCATTCAACCACGAGCGACTGACCAGCAGTGTGAGTTAAATGAATTCACGACACACGACATTACCGAGCCACGAGTCGCTCGTGTCATAAACGTGTGTTCAGACTACTAGCCGAGAATCCAGGATTCGTGACCCCCTACGGGTGTTCCGTGAGATAGGCACTGCTGATGACTCCCAATAAGGATGAAACAGCTGTACATTGCTTCCCGGCTTTTCGGATTGACTTCGCCCACAGGACGAGAAATGTTCGGTTTCTGTTCACAGGACTGTTTTGGGACAGCGCAGCAACACGAGGACCGTGGCGTTCCCCAAGCCGTATCGATATACCATGGAACCTAGACAGCTCCGTTTGTTGGTGGTACCCAGATGGGCTTCGACATCCTGCTCGTGTCCCAGACCTTGTGTTTCTTTCGAGTCACATGGCAGCTGCGGATCGATACGGGACTACCGTTGAACGATACGTTTTTTGTATTCAGTGTTGTGGTTCGGGGTTGAACACTAATCATTTGCAAGAGAAACACGTGAGAGAGAAAAGAAACTAACTATCGACCGAGGTACTGCGAAACATAAACGAGCTTCGAACGAATTGGGACGTGTGTATCAAGCTACAGTACGGGCTGTTTTGCTGTATGGCTGTGAGGCTTGACCTATTCGAGCAGCGGAACTCAGACATTTTCAGGTGTTCGACAATCGTTGTCTCAGAACCATAGCTAGTGTGAGTTGGTGTCGGCGAATCCGTAACGAGGCAGTTAGAAAGCGC